TGTTTGAGTTTGTAAAGAAGAATACAAACATTGCTATTTTTTTGAACAGTCGAATATTCACTTTTCTTCAATTTTTTTAGAGGAACAACACAAATTTCATATATTTTTCTTCATGTTTTGATTTGGAATAGAATGTGTAGTGTTCCCAATGCATTTGTGTGTATGGAAATAAAAGCTATTAGAAGGATTTTGAGCTTTATTCACTTTTTTCAACACACTGCTATTATTTTGAACACAACTGTATATTATTCAAATCTAAAGTAGATCAATTAATTTAAGTAGTTTGATCGAATACAGAATGGTACAGAAGGATTTAAATAATTAATTTCCGTACTGTGCCCAAACAAAATCCACTTATAAAAAGTTGTGCTCTTAATATTGGCTAAACATTCTGAAACAGGATTTGGAGGTATCTCTGTATGGTGTATGAGTACCCATGAAAATCTCAGCAGATGAGCAGTGTATGAAATACTCAGACCAGCCCGTCCTGCTCCAACAACCATGCCACGTTCAAAGTCACTTAAATCCCCTTTCTTACCCATTCATATGCTCGGTGTGAACTTCAGTAAGTCATCTTCACCATGGCTAGTTGCCTAAATGCTACCATGTGATTGGCTAATTAGCAATTTGTGTTACCAAGCAATTGAACTGGTGTACCTTATAAAGTGGCCGGTGAGAGTGTGTGTGTGTGTATGTATGTATATATATATTGCATATACCCTGTACATATATGTAGTGCTACCCCCGAAGGAGCTGCTTAAATGTTTTCCATGGGCTTCCCCTTGCTTCGCTCCCCGCAGCCAGGCACACACACTCTTTGACTCGTTCTCTTCAATGACCAATCTAGAGGATGTTTTGTTTTTGGAGTTTTATTGTAGAACTGGGGATAGGGATGGGGAATTGTAATAGGATACTCCAAAATCAGAACTATTCACACTGAGGACATATAGCTGATCTCTTAGTTGAATACTTATGAAGTCTTGGCTGACAGCAGATAGCAGATTTTCTATTGTAACATATAGCAGCAAGTACTAGGAGTGAGCAAAGTCCCTTTTTGCAGTAGAAGTAATTACAGGGCTGAGCTCCTCAGTTATAAGCCAGTTATGACAGACTGCGACAGCCCAAAGGTAATGTAACTGAGCAAAGGTCCCTTTGCAAAAGCAACAATCGGACAAGCTCTTCAGAACACTAGCCAGTGTTCCCCTTTTCCAGACCTGCACTCACTATAAAGCACCAGGGGATGTAGCAAACACACAGAGTCCCCAAATTCCTCAATGTCAGCAATCACAAGACCCAAGGACAAAATGATTGCCTCCTTCCAATGTTCCAAGCGAAACCCTCCATGATACCAGACAGAGCCTTGTCAGACAACTCCCCTCAGTCAGCTTACTGTAGAACCAGGGTCACTCTCTCTAACTTCAGGCCCTCAGGTTGACCAACCTGAGGCCACATGGCAGCCAGTGCCAGGCGAGGCATCCTGCCTCCAGCCTGGCTTGGTGCAATCCACTCCTGGGAAAGACACTGAACCCATGTGCTCCCAGAATATAAATACCATTTCCAGCAGCAATCGGACTGCCTTCCCCTGCAATCAGCCAGGGCTGTCTACATATTCATGCTGTTCATTTGCCTAGTCCCTACTAATGTTCTGGAAGGCTCTCATAGCTTCCTGAAGGCAGGCAGAACTCAGACAAATTTCAACAGCACTAGAGCAACACGAGCAAACCTAACTAACCAATCACAGCACTCTGTTAAGCAGAATACCACAGTGAATTTACCTGACCACCTCTCTGGTAAGCAGAGAAACAAAGCTATACTTAAAATAACTATATATATATATATATATATATATATATATATATATATATATATAGTTGCAAGAAAAAGTATGTGAACCCCTTGAGATTACGTGGAGTTTTGCATGAATTGGGCATAAAATGTGCTCTGAACGTCATCTAAGTCACAACAATAGAAGAACACAGTCTGCTGAACATAATACTACACAAACATTACATGTTGCCATGGTTTAATTGCACATAACATGTAAACATTCACAGTGCAGTACTGTGAGTACTGCTGTTTGCAACTCCCCCCATGAGGTCGGTGTTACTCTGCTGAGTTGCCATTTTAGAGACACACTGACACAGAGAGAGATACCCAGTGGAATTTCCCGCCAAGTCGCTGTACTGATTTTACCAGCACCAGAGACTAGCAAAGTGTGTGTCGTCTCCCTCAGTTGTCTGCAAAGTCTGAATACATATATCGGAGACAGTGAAATGACAGAATAATCCCTAAATGAGAGATATGCGCTGAAGTGAGAACAAGCCATTTACCCAGGATTGCTACTATATTTTTCAAAACATTTTTTGTAGGATTTGCTGATGAAATCAGCCACATTCTGTTTAACAGTTCACCTATGTTAAAAAGAGCTCCAACGGGCCCCATCTAGAGACTGCATTTTGGAACTTTTGTTCTGGTCAGATATCAGGAGACAAGGGGAGTGTTTGGCACTCATTATAGTTATGCGCTGGTAACTATTTAATGCAGTAATGTTTATACTTGTTAATATATGTGTTTGGTATAGGACATCTTATGTCCATAAGTTAATATACATGATTATCCAATACGGTTACTATGATTCACTACGCTTAGAGTCATAGGTGATATTTGCACCCTGTTTCTAGATGGAATAAATCCCCCAGGGAAATTTTATCTCTTAAAGCCAGTGTGTGTTTCATTGGATTCTGCTGTGTTGTCAGTCCAGGTAAGAGCTGTGAAACCCACATCATATACCAATATATTGCTAACACCCACGGGTGTGCTACATAAGTATTAGAGTCCCTATGGTGGCCTCTGAGGTTGGAATTACTCTATGTGTTATGAGATATCATTTGGTGTGCTACATACTTGATGTTTTACCTAACAGATATTATACATGCAATTACTCCTGAAGAAGTGAACAAAGAGTCACGAAGCGCATCGTGCTTTTGGATGCAATTTTAGTGTAATTATGTTTTGATATCTGGATTGTATATGGTCAACAGTATATTTAATTATGTATGAAATGCATTAATATGGATTCATTACAAATCAGCTTGTTACCATTTTATCTTCTTTTGTATGAAATGAGAAGATTTTTTAGCCATTTATTAAACAACAATGTTGGAAACTCGTTATTCATTGGTCGTGTGTGTTTGTACCTCATTCAGAGTCCCAGGACAAATAAATTGGTTGTATGGACAGTCCTCAGCTGTGTGAAAACTGAGAGCTGAGCAATAAGTGGTTTTATCACTCAATTTTTGGTCTTAGAGCTGGCAATTGTGTTCTATTACCTGAGGGTTTTATGAGCGAGCCTGTGCTTAGAGGCAAGTTTTGGTGGGCAAATCTTTAAATTCTGGCTTTTCCTTTAAGGCTGTTAGACAACACACTCTAAAAAAAAGGCATTGGAAGCTGGACACATGGGGGACATGTACCAATGAAAAAAAAAATACTATACAGCCTGGAGAGGCTCTTTTCATGCGGCCTTCAGGGCAATATTGAAAATACAGGAATCCTTCAAATAACATGCTTGTGGGATACCTTAAATCTGTACATGGTATTATTAACATCATGATTTTCACAGAAAGTATACACTTCCAGCACATATTTGGCCGTGGAATTTGTTTTTTTTTTTTTTTTTTTTTTTTTTTTTTTTTTTCAATTAGCTTGGCTTAAATACAGCAGCATTGCAATCTGATTAATTTCAGTTTGAAAAAAAGCCTTTTTTCAGGTAGCTTTAGCAGAGACACATGCTTTTTCATCAATTAAGCTCACCTTGAGTGACAGATAGAAATTGACTGGTAGCTCGCTGTGGCTGTCCTTGTTCTCACTGATACAAAACTGTCCTGCCCTTTGCCAATTTCTATTAAGCTCTCATTAAGAATTAAGAGAACACAAATGATAAATCAGTGTAAATATCTGTGATGTGACCAGTTTAATATTTGAATAAAATGTTTGACTATATTTACAGACTCAAGATGTGCTGGCAGCATATTTCTACTTGTGTCCATCCAATGCTTTCTGATAATTGCCATAGCACACCACCTGTGAAGAAGTTGGATTCCAGTAAGATGTGTGCTGGGAATTTCTTTTTTGGTTAGACGCTATCAGGTGGTGCCCAATGGGAGAGTAACCGGGCTATAGGAAACATACTGGAACAAAGTTTTTACTCACTGAACATTGTAAGTTTAAAAGCAGAATAGTCCATGTTTTGCAGCAGTTTTTATAAAAAGTAGAAAGGTAAGGGTTTCTTTTGAAATCCCTTCTACAAAAAATAAGCAATTTCAAATTCATATAACAGCAACAAAAACAAAACACTTTAATGACCTTTCTTAAAATATTACATGGTGTTCCTGGTTGACAGGATGATTGCCTATTGGTCAATTGGATCCTGTCTTGATTTGCTGGACTCAATGCCATGTCATTTTGTTATAAAGATCCACGTTCTAAGGTCATAGACTAAGAGTACACAGTGAACCTGACCATATGGAGACTTGGGTCCTACACCTAAGACATAACATGGAGTTGATGTTGTGGCACCAGAAGTTTCTGCCGTAACCCTATGAAGTGTGACAGCAGGAAATGTCAGGTGTTCCAAACCGAATAAGCACATATAAGCAATAGACTGTGTGAACAGTACAAATGTGCTGCCAAATATTTATAGCTCAGTGATGTGTAGAATCTAATGAAAAGATGCTCAATATGCCTCTGATAGCATTGTTAAACAATCTATGCATGATATATGAATGATATACCATGCAAGAGTCATTGTAAGTAAAACTTGATAATATAGATGTAGTAGTACCCTGCTAGGTAGGTGCTAGGATTTGTATAGTTAGGTTAAGCATAGCTGTGTCTCTCTGCTTACCAGAGAGACTGTTTGAGATATCTAGTTGGGCTCTGTGCTTAACAGAGTGCTGTGTTGGTGTCACGATCAGGGTTCAAGCTCAAAGACCAGTTGCTATAGCAGTGGACAGGCTTATCTGAAACCAGCAGGATAGGTACACAGGCAGGTCACCGTGGCGGAGTAGTGGGATCAACCGAGGTGCGGAGTCTAAGTACCAACCGGTGTTCATCAGAGCTCCTAATGGTGGAGATGGATTTGGCTGCGTGTTAGCACCAGGTCGCAGTCCTCGGGTCACCCCACCAGGAGGTGAGCAAGCGGAGGTCCGGTAGTGTATGAACAGGTAAGGATCAAACGGAAGTGTGGTCATTAAACAAGCCAAGGTCAGTAAGGAGCAGTCGCAGGTTGGGATCAGGCAGAAGCATAGTCGAGAACAAGCCAAGGGTCAATAACAAGTGTAGCAAAATACGGATAACAGCAGAGATGAAAAGGAGCACGATATTGGCTGGAGAGCACAATAATCTGGCAAACAGGAAGTGCTGAGACATGGTTTATATCAGGAAGTTCAGGAGAGGAGCAAGGGGTTCAAGGTTCATGATAAACAAGGTCAAGGTAGGATCATCCAAATAATTGTCAAGGGAGCTATCCAGCATTCCAGGTGGCTCAGCAAGAAGAAAAATTGCCACTCACCACAGAAGGGCCAGGTTTGGACCCAGGCTCTGATAGTTGGATTATACAGGTTTGCTCATGATGCTCTGGTGCTGCTGAGTTTGTGTCAGGAATGGACTCGCCAATAGTGTTGGGACTCACCTGCCTTGTGGTTTGCAGTACCAGGACTGGCCAGCGGGTGCTTTCAGCAACCAGAGGCTCACTTCTGCAGTCAGCCAAAACACCTGAGGCTGATTGCAGGAGGTGCATATAAGGAATGGCCAGACTTGCAAGCAGGGCCGTGGTGTATGTTTTCCCAAGAGCCCCTGTACCTGCATCCTGTTGGCTTCCTGTCTGATCCTGCTTTATCCCTGACTCTGATTGTACTCCGCCTGTCCTGACCTCTGCTATTCCTGACCACTCTCCAGTCTGCTCCTTTGGTACCTTGTCTGCCTGATTGTTCCTGACCCGGCCCGTCCGACTACGCTTAGTATTGTTCTTTTGTTATCTGTTGGGGGTTTTGGTTTGGTTTGTTTTCACTGTGTTTATGTTTAGTCTTGCACTGCATTTATGTATTGTTTAGTCTTAAATAAATTATATTGTTTATACTATATCTGAAGCCTGTGTTTCCCTGTGTCAGTCCACACACCTCTGGTCATACCCGGGGCCCTGACATTACACCAAGGCCAATCCTGACCAGAAGTGGCTGCACAGGGAAGCCATCTTGGCTTATTGTTGCTGGGAAGGATGAATCTTGATGAGGTGGTGTATTTGTCTCTGCTAGTGTTTGATGACAGAGATTATGCTTATCAGACTCTGAAGGAGTATACCAGGGATCAACTACTAGAGTGCATAAGGATCGCTCATTGCCTAGTAGATCAGGGCACAGAATTCTCTGAGGTGCAACCATTGATTCAGGTTTGTACAGAGTTGGTTTCATCTGGTACCCCCGAATGCAGGGATGAATTTTTTCCGCCATTTAGTGCCGACCAGGTAGAGTCCCTGGTATGGTTACTGGAGGATGATGTGGATTACTTTCTGGAGCATTATTCTGCATGTTCACAACAGGTACTAAGAGATTGTATAAACGCAGTGCAGTCATTGACCAGACAGGCTTTGTGTAAGCGGAGCTTTGTTCAACCCATACTGCAGGCATGGTCAGACTTGTTGCACCCAGCCTCAGTCAGCTTGCAACGTCATTCCTCTGCTCAAGGCACTCTTCCTGCATCCCCCCGACAGCACCCGCAGTGATGGCCTAGTATACTCTGCTAACTACCGCATACCAGTCCCCTGCTCCCACTCGCTGCACCTATCCTTTCTTTAACCCTGTAAAGAAGTCCTCTGTAGCAACTGCTCCCTCCTCTGTTCCATCCTCCAGCTCTTCTCTGTCTTCAACTGCTCCATTTGTTTACAGACCTGCGTCTTACTTACAGTGCTCCAGTAACTAAAACCAGAAAAAAGCGAAAATTCTTTCCAACCAGTACCATCCTGCCAGTATCCAAACCGGTCAGCCTGCCATCTGAGAACCCGCCTTCCGTGGTTCAGCCTGGTGCCTCCGCACCCGCAATTCAGCCTGATGTCTCTACCCAGCCTAATGTCTGTACCCAGCGTGATGAACTGATCCAGCTTGATGATCCTATCATGCCAGGTGACTCGGTGCCCGCTGTCGAGCCAGATGACCTGATGCCTGGTGACCCGATGCCCGCTGTCGTGCCTGATGACCCGATGCCAGCTGTCGAGCCCGCTGTCGTGCCTGATGACCCGATGCCAGCTGTCGAGCCAGATATCCTGATGCCTGGTGACCCGATGCCCGCTGTCGAGCCAGACGATCCAATGCCTGATGACCCGGTACCCGCTGTCGAGCCAGACGATCCAATGCCTGGTGACCCGATGCCCGCTGTCGAACCAGATGACCCGGTACCCGCTGTCGTGCCTGATGACCCGATGCCGCTGTCGAGCCAGATGCCAGATGACCTGATGCCTGGTCACCTGATGCCCGCTGTCGAGCTGACGACCCGATGCCCGCTGTCCAGATTGCCAGAGATGACTCGATGCCCGCTGTCTTGCCAGATGACTCGGCGCCCGCAGTCTTGCCAGATGACTCGGCGCCCGCAGTCTTGCCAGATGACTCGGTGCCCGCTGTCTTGCCAGATGACTCGGTGCCCGCTGTCTTGCCAGATGACTCGCGCCCGCAGTCTTGCCAGATGACTCGGTGCCCGCAGTCTTGCCAGATGACTCGGTGCCCGCTGTCTTGCCAGATGACTTGGTGCCCGCTGTCAGATGACTCGGCGCCAGCAGTCTTGCCAGATGACTCGGTGCCCGCTGTCTTGCCAGATGACTCGGCGCCCGCTGTCTTGCCAGATGACTCGGTGCCCGCTGTCTTGCCAGATGACTCGGTGCCCGCTGTCTTGCCAGATGACTCGGTGCCCGCTGTCTTGCCAGATGACTCGGTGCCCGCTGTCTTGCCAGATGACTCGGCGCCCGCTGTTTTGCCAGATGACTCGGTGCACCCGCAGTCTTGCCAGATGACTCGGTGCCCGCAGTCTTGCCAGATGACTCGGTGCCCGCTGTCTTGCCAGATGACTCGGCGCCCGCAGTCTTGCCAGATGACTCGGCGCCCGCAGTCTTGCCAGATGACTCGGCGCCCGCAGTCTTGCCAGATGACTCGGCGCCCGCAGTCTTGCCAGATGACCGGTGCCCACTGTCTTGCCAGATGACTCGGTGCCCGCTGTCTTGCCAGATGACTCGGCGCCCGCAGTCTTGCCAGATGACTCGATGCCCGCTGTCTTGCCAGATGACTCGGTGCCCGCAGTCTTGCCAGATGACTCGGTGCCCGCTGTCTTGCCAGATGACTCGGTGCCCGCTGTCTTGCCAGATGACTCGGTGCCCGCTGTCTTGCCAGATGACTCGGCGCCCGCAGTCTTGCCAGATGACTCGGCGCCCGCAGTCTTGCCAGATGACTCTCGGCCCGCCGAGCTTAGTCTTGTCTTGCCAGATGACTTGGCGCCCGCAGTCTTGCCAGATGACCTCGGTGCCCGCTGTTTTGCCAGATGACTCGGCGCCCGCTGTCTTGCCAGATGACCTGGTGCCCGCTGTTTTGCCAGATGACTCGGCCCCGCTGTCTTGCCAGATGACTCGGTGCCCGCAGTCTTGCCAGATGACTCGGCCCGCTGTCTTGCCAGATGACTCGCGCCCGCAGTCTTGCCAGATGACTGGTGCCCGCTGTCTTGCCAGATGACTCGGTGCCCGCTGTCTTGCCAGATGACTCGGTGCCCGCAGTCTTGCCAGATGACTCGGCGCCCGCAGTCTTGCCAGATGACCTGGTGCCCGCTGTTTTGCCAGATGACTCGGCGCCCGCTGTCTTGCCAGATGACTCGGTGCCCGCAGTCTTGCCAGATGACTCGGTGCCCGCTGTCTTGCCAGATGACTTGGTGCCCGCTGTCGAGCTTGACCAGATGACCGGTGCCCGCTGTCTTGCCAGATGACTCGGTGCCCGCTGTCTTGCCAGATGACTCGGCGCCCGCAGTCTTGCCAGATGACTCGGCGCCCGCAGTCTTGCCAGATGACTCGGTGCCCGCTGTCTTGCCAGATGACTCGGTGCCCGCTGTCTTGCCAGATGACTCGGTGCCCGCAGTCTTGCCAGATGACCCGGTGCCCGCTGTCTTGCCAGATGACTCGGTGCCCGCTGTCTTGCCAGATGACTCGGTGCCCGCTGTCTTTGAGCCAGATGACCCGATGCCCGCTGTCTTGCCAGATGACTCGGTGCCCGCTGTCTTGCCAGATGACTCGGTGCCCGCTGTCTTGCCAGATGACTCGGTGCCCGCTGTCTTGCCAGATGACTCGGTGCCCGCTGTCTTGCCAGATGACTCGGTTCCTGCTGTCTTGCCAGATGACTCGGTGCCCCGCAGTCTTGCCAGATGACTCGGCGCCCGCAGTCTTGCCAGATGACTCGGTGCCCGCTGTCCTGACTCGCTGTCTTGCCAGATGACTCGGCGCCCGCAGTCTTGCCAGATGACTCGGCGCCCGCAGTCTTGCCAGATGACTCGGCGCCCGCAGTCTTGCCAGATGACTTGGCGCCCGCAGTCTTGCCAGATGACCTGGTGCCCGCTGTTTTGCCAGATGACTCGGTGCCCGCTGTCTTGCCAGATGACTCGGTGCCCGCAGTCTTGCCAGATGACTCGATGCCCGCTGTCTTGCCAGATGACTCGGTGCCCGCAGTCTTGCCAGATGACTCGATGCCCGCTGTCTTGCCAGATGACTCGGTGCCCGCTGTCTTGCCAGATGACTCGGTGCCCGCTGTCTTGCCAGATGACTCGGCGCCCGCAGTCTTGCCAGATGACTCGGCGCCCGCAGTCTTGCCAGATGACTCGGCGCCCGCAGTCTTGCCAGATGACTCGTGCCCGCTGTTTTGCCAGATGACTCGGCGCCCGCTGTCTTGCCAGATGACCTCGTGCCCGCTGTCTTTGCCAGATGACTCGGTGCCCGCTGCCCGCTGTCTTGCCAGATGACTCGGTGCCCGCTGTCTTGCTTGCAGATGACTCGGTGCCCGCAGTCTTGCCAGATGACTCGGCGCCCCCTCTTGCCAGATGACTCGGTGCCCGCTGTCTTGCCAGATGACTCGGTGCCCGCTGTCTTGCCAGATGACTCGGTGCCCGCAGTCATGCCAGATGACTCGGTGCCCGCAGTCTTGCCAGATGACTCGGTGCCCGCTGTCTTGCCAGATGACTCGGTGCGCCGCCAGATGACGTCTTGCCAGATGACTCGGTGCCCGCAGTCTTGCCAGATGACTCGGTGCCCGCTGTCTTGCCAGATGACTCGGTGCCCGCTGTCGAGCCAGATGACCGATGCCCGCTGTCTTGCCAGATGACTCGGTGCCCGCTGTCTTGCCAGATGACTCGGCGCCCGCAGTCTTGCCAGATGACTCGGCGCCCGCAGTCTTGCCAGATGACTCGGTGCCCGCTGTCTTGCCAGATGACTCGCCCCGCTGTCTTGCCAGATGACTCGGTGCCCGCTGTCTTGCCAGATGACTCGGAGCCCGCTGTCTTGCCAGATGACTCGGTGCCCGCAGTCTTGCCAGATGACTCGGCGCCCGCAGTCTTGCCAGATGACTCGGCGCCCGCAGTCTTGCCAGATGACTCGGTGCCCGCTGTCTTGCCAGATGACTCGGAGCCCGCTGTCTTGCCAGATGACTCGGTGCCCGCTGTCTTGCCAGATGACTCGGTGCCCGCAGTCTTGCCAGATGACTCGGCGCCCGCTGTCTTGCCAGATGACCCGGTGCCCGCAGTCTTGCCAGATGACTCGGTGCCCGCTGTCTTGCCAGATGACTCGGTGCCCGCTGTCTTGCCAGATGACTCGGTGCCCGCTGTCGAGCTTGCCCGAAGATGACTGTTTTGCCATGCCCGCCCGTTTTGCCAGATGACTCGGCGCCCGCTGTCTTGCCAGATGACTCGGTGCCCGCTGTCTTGCCAGATGACTCGGTGCCCGCTGTCTTGCCAGATGACTCGGCGCCCGCTGTCTTGCCAGATGACTCGGCGCCCGCAGTCTTGCCAGATGACTCGATGCCCGCTGTCTTGCCAGATGACTCGGTGCCCGCTGTCTTGCCAGATGACTCGGTGCCCGCTGTCTTGCCAGATGACTCGGTGCCCGCTGTCTTGCCAGATGACTCGGTGCCCGCAGTCTTGCCAGATGACTCGGCGCCCGCAGTCTTGCCAGATGACCCGGTGCCCGCTGTTTTGCCAGATGACTCGGCGCCCGCTGTCTTGCCAGATGACTCGGTGCCCGCTGTCTTGCCAGATGACTCGATGCCCGCTGTCTTGCCAGATGACTCGGTGCCCGCAGTCTTGCCAGATGACTCGGCGCCCGCAGTCTTGCCAGATGACTCGGCGCCCGCTGTCTTGCCAGATGACTCGATGCCCGCTGTCTTGCCAGATGACTCGATGCCCGCTGTCTTGCCAGATGACTCGGTGCCCGCTGTCTTGCCAGATGACTCGGTGCCCGCTGTCTTGCCAGATGACTCGGTGCCCGCAGTCTTGCCAGATGACCGGCGCCCGCAGTCTTGCCAGATGACCCGGTGCCCGCTGTTTTGCCAGATGACTCGGTGCCCGCTGTCTTGCCAGATGACTCGGTGCCGCTGTCCAGCTTGACGACCCGTGCCCGCTGTCTTGCCAGATGACTCGGTGCCCGCTGTCAAGCTTGACAACCCGATGCCCGCTGTTTTGCCAGATGACTCGGCGCCCGCAGTCTTGCCAGATGACCGGTGCCCGCCCACTGTTTTGCCAGATGACTCGGTGCCCGCTGTCTTGCCAGATGACTCAGTGCCCGCAGTCTTGCCAGATGACTCGATGCCCGCTGTCTTGCCAGATGACTCGGTGCCCGCAGTCTTGCCAGATGACTCGATGCCCGCTGTCTTGCCAGATGACTCAATTCCTGCTGTCTTGCCAGATGACTCGGCGCCCGCTGTCTTGCCCAGATGACTCGGCGCCCGCAGTCTTGCCAGATGACTCGGCCCCCGCAGTCTTGCCAGATGACTTGGCGCCCGCAGTCTTGCCAGATGACCTGGTGCCCGCTGTTTTGCCAGATGACTCGGCGCCCGCTGTCTTGCCAGATGACTCGGTGCCCGCAGTCTTGCCAATGACTCGGTGCCCGCTGTCTTGCCAGATGACTTGGTGCCCGCTGTCGAGCTTGACGACCCGATGCCCGCTGTCTTGCCAGATGACTCGGCGCCCGCTGTCTTGCCAGATGACTCGGCGCCCGCTGTCTTGCCAGATGACTCGGCGCCCGCTGTCTTGCCAGATGACTCGGCGCCCGCTGTCTTGCCAGATGACTCGATGCCCGCTGTCTTGCCAGATGACTCGGTGCCCGCTGTCTTGCCAGATGACTCGGTGCCCGCTGTCTTGCCAGATGACTCGGAGCCCGCTGTCTTGCCAGATGACTCGGTGCCCGCAGTCTTGCCAGATGACCCGGTGCCCGCAGTCTTGCCAGATGACCCGGCGCCCGCAGTCTTGCCAGATGACTCGGTGCCCGCTGTCTTGCCAGATGACTCGGAGCCCCGCTGTCTTGCCAGATGACTCGGAGCCCGCTGTCTTGCCAGATGACTCGGCGCCCGCAGTCTTGCCAGATGACCCGGCGCCCGCAGTCTTGCC